ATATGGGCAATTTCATCTCATTTATTACAGGCTTATTTTTTTGGTCTTTTTCATTTTTATCCATACCAGGGATTGAACTCACGACTGCCTGCTTGCAAGGCAGGCGCTTATGCCGCTGAGCTAAATCCCCAGCCCCCTATTACAGACTTCTTGAGACATGATGTGTTTTTGTGAACTTCTCATAGCGTGAAAATTTAGGTTTTAAGTGGTAAATTAAATTTCCTTACATAGCTAAGCCTGTGATTGCAACTCAGTTTTAAAAGACTAAACAATAAATGGTTGATGAATATACACATAGTTATTTAAAATAATTTGCGTTATATTGATAAGTAAAAATTTAAGACCTTCTTAAGACCTGAGGAATTTACCCCAGTCATTAAAAATATTTTTAAGCTGGGAAATACATATATGAAAGAGCATATAAAATGTGTGTGTGTATATATCATAAATATAACTAATAAAAATTTTGTCTTTTTTTCTTTGAAAGAATTTTTGTCTATTCTCTGAGCAACACTTTGGCCATTCTTTCAGGAACATGATATATAGTATATGAATCATCATTTTTCTCTAATTGTTTTATTTTGAAATTTTATTTTTTATGGAAGAGGTTTTTTACATTTTCTTTATTAATACCTGCTTGTATCACATTAAAATAAAAATAATGAAATGAAGAGCCATGAATGCATAGTCCAGGGTACAAAATAGAATATTATTAGTGACTTTAAAAGCACCTTTGTTGTTCCTTCCTATCACAACCTGCCACCCCCTTCAAACTATTATCTCAGGTTTTGATTCAATCATTTATTTTAGTTTTCATCATAGCTTTACTCACTATGTATGTATCCCTTAGCAGATTATTATTTACTCTTTAAAAACTGACTTGTAAGCATAAACAGCTGTGTAAAGAAAGACTATTTTATAGACTTTAAAGAGATGAAAGGCCAAAAAAATAAAAAGAAAGAGACAAAAGGCCAAACAGAATCTCTTGTTCATACACAGCCTGGCTTTAGGTGCCTTGAAAATTTAAGAGCCCATTTTGGGAAGTTTGTTGGCAAGGTCACTAGTAAATCCCAGGATCTGAGACTCTTTCTAGACAGGAAAGATGTTGGAACTGTAGTACACAGTGGGCCTGGTCCAGAAAAATGCAATGAGGAGCACCAGCACATGCACATTTCCTGCTCTTCTGATCACCGACACCTGCCTCCAGCGCTCAGGAATAAGTTAAAACAGAACACTGCAGTGGAGGGTAATGCGAGTCCTTTGCTGGTTCAGGCAGCAGAGAAGAACAAGAGTCTCATCGGCTCATGGCCAGAAAAAGCAAATCAAAAGAACCTGAATTCTGCTCATCTAGCCATTTCTTATTTGGCTCAAAAAGGTGATCCAAAGTAGTGGGAAAGTGGCTCTTACACTGATTGGCCTCTATGTTTGATGCATGGCTATCAACTTGGTATTTCCTTTTTTTATGTCCTAGGGATTCCCCGCATCTTCTTTTTTCTATACTTCCTTCTCCTCCTCCTTCCTAATTGCTTCGTTTTTGTTCTTGAGATAGGATTTGCTATGTAGTGCATGCAGGCTGGCCTTGAATTTGCTTATGTAACCCAGACTGGCCTCAAACTCATGGTGATCCTCCTCCCTCAGCATCCTGAGTACTAGAATTACAGGCATGGGCCACCATGCCCCAGATTGTTTTGTTTTGCTCTCTTTTGTTTTTCTACATTTGTTTTGGCAGATTTGTTCATTCATATAACATATCTCCAATCAGTTCCTTTGCTGTACCCCCCCTCATATTTTTGAGGGATTTCAACGTGTACAGTGTATTTTTATCATATTCATCCCTCCTGTTAGCAACCCTGGAGCTTCTGTTTTTGTCTCCTGGTATCCTTTTTATTTATTGGTTCATTCTTATTTTGATATCATATTCCTACTATAATTTCTTCAGAAAATTTGCATGGAAAATAATTTATTGAAGCTGTGGTGCATCTGTTTCCACTGGTTTTAACATGTTGTATCTTACTATATTTCACTATATACTATAGTATAAACAAAACTCTTTATAGGCAAAAAAAAAACTCTTTATAGGCAAAGAGATAATAAAGAAACCGTTGTTCGTTTTCTATTAGCTGGTTCTAAATACCTTGTAAAAAAAAAAAGAAAATAATTTATTGGACATTTTCATGTCTGAAAATGTCTTTTCAATTATTGATAGTCTAGTCAAATGTAGAATTAAGGATTAAATAATATCCCATTAAGATTATGAAAGTATTTTTCTATTGTATTCTTGCTTCTAGTTTTGCCATTGAGAGATCTGAGGATATTCTGATTCCTGAGCCATTGTGTATGGATTGTATCATCTTTTCCTGAGGTGTACTCTTAACCCCAGTTCTGGAAACTGGAAAATCTCCTTATCCACAGTGATTTTAAATTTCACAGTTGTGTGTATATGGATATGGGTTATTTTGCTGAGTACTTGGAAGGTCTTTTAAACTGGACTACTCGTGATTTAAGTTCTTGGAAATTTTTTTCAGTTATTGTTTTAAGGTACTCCCACATTTTCTGTTATTTTTGTTCTATTTTGAGAGATTTCCTCAACATTATTTCCAATCTTTTTATTAAGTTTTAGATTTCTTCATGTGTTTGTTTTTTAAGAGTCCTTTTTTGTTTTATGAAAGCCCTGTTTTTGTTTAATGTTTGTAATGTTTCTGAAGATATTAGTGGAAATTTGAAGTGCTTTTCTTGTATGATTTGTTTCCTCTAAGTTGCTGTTTCTCTTTTGGTCCCATAGAGTTTTCCAGATATTTCAAGGAGCCTTGGTTTGTACGTACTCAGCCTAAGGGATAAGACAGTAGTTATCAACAGGGAGCTTTGCCCCCAGAGAACTTTTAGCAGCATCTAGAGATACTTTTAGTGGTCAAAACTAAGAGGTAACTCTATTCCCGGCCCCCCATGGGTCCAATGCATATGTTAACCCCTAAACATAGATCACAAAAATTATCCAGATCAAATGCTAACAGTGTTCAGGTTATAAACCCTGAAGCAGAAGGACTGAAAGCTGATTGAGAGAGCTCTGAAGGTGCAAGTATAACTTGGACATTGTAGGTTTTGCTGGAAGGGGAACCTATCTGAGCAATCTGAGGAAGCTTGTTTCATATCTTTACATCTATCCTGCTGGGCTGGTCAGTTATCCAGAAGTCTTTTTACTCCTGCCTGAGAGTAAAGAAATGTCTTTCAATATTTCCTCTATTAGGGAAAAAGGTACTAAGAATGTCAGTAGTCCATGTGTGTGTGACCTCATACTTCTGTTAGTTTTCATATAGTACCCATTTTCTTTTTCTTTTTTTTTTTTTTTTTTCCTTTTTAACTTTTTATCGGTACCGGGGATCGAACTCAGGACCGCCTGCTTGTAAGGCAGGTGCTTATGCCGCTAAGCTAAATCCCCAGCCCCAAGTACCCATTTTCTTAATGGCCTTGTCTCTCTGGTTCTGGGACCCCATTAACCCTCTCTGGAGAATGACCCTCCTCCAGAAGGTGGGGAAAAGGCAGTTACCCTTGGTATGGAGGAGAGAAGAGATCCAATGTGTCGCTAATGAATTTCATTCAAACCTTGTTATTTTAACCCTACCCTTTCTTTACTTTTAGTTCCACAGTTCATGAACTTCTTGAGGATGGTACGATTCCAAATAGGTTTTTTATTTTCTCTTTGCAGGTCGGCTTTCCTAAATATTAAGTTACCAGCACTTCATCTGCTGTCTTGCCTCCTAAATTTAATGATTACTATTATGTCTTTTTATTCTCTGAGTTCTTTTTAAAGACCCTTTTGATGTGATTTTAGTGGGGTTCTGGGAAGAAAGTGTAAATTAAATGCAGTGTGCTTAATCTATCCTATTAGTCTAGAAGCAAACATTTTAGTGTACCTTCAATATCAGAATTGTTACCTAGACCAGTGATAACAAAATTTTAGAGCTTTCAATGATACAATCATCCCATTATGGCATGAGTGCCATAGGTTCGCCACCACTGATATAGACTATTTTTGGAGGCTATTATAATAATACTCACTCATTAAGCATCCTGGTTTAATTGACCTTTTAAAAAACATAGACTGCTAGAAGCAGCCATGTGCCTCATGTAGGACCTTGTGTTACAGTCTCAGTCAATATTTAGTATTTGTAAGGAGTTGAATAAAGAATATATATTTAATCAAATCTGAAATGCTATAAGTTATCCCATTTGGATCAACACCCTAGCCATAATTATGCAATTCGTACATAATTGTACAAATATGGGAAAGATAGTATTCTCTGATGATGGCTTACAAACGATCTCAGTCAGTATTTTCCTACATAAATACTTAATAATTGACTGTACCGTAGATTTTTTAAAAATTAATGATGAAAGTTCAAGCATCAAACAGATAAAGGTCAGACTAAAACCTTGGTTTTCTGAATTTTTGTTCTTCCCTGAACCATCATTCAAATATAATTAGTAAGCGTATTCTAATAGATGTTTATACATACTTTGTTATCCCTTCCTTTTCTGAGGGGAGAACAAGCCAACTTTTAAATATTTTTGTGTGGATTAAGTCACAAAAAAAAACCCTAGAAGTGCATTTTCATGTCTTTTTAAGGTATTAAATTTAGTTCACTTTTGTTAGTCTGTTGGATGTCATTAAGAGACAGATCCTTAAAATGGCTTACTTGTGATTTGTCTTCAGATCTTGAATAATTCATACATCTACTCATTTTCCTTGCCTCATTATAAAATTAGTTAAAAGAATTAGGAATTTAATTTGATTTTTTACTCACAGACTTTTTAAGTCTTGTGGTGTGTTAGTCCCTTTTCTCTCCATTCTCTGTGTTAATTTTACTCTCACTAAAAGGGTGGGACAGAAGCTAATCTTTGTTCCTCACCTTTGTTCAAGCAGAGAAAAGTAAAGAATTGACTCAATTAACCGTGAACAATCCCACATACAGATCTTGGAAAGTTTCCAAAATGATGGAGTGAATCAAAGCATACTGTACAAAAGTGTATATAAATAGAGTCCCAAGTGTTTATGTGTGGACAAAAACCAATTACATTAAGCATTTCTTGAAATTTTTTGCTGTTGTCAAGATAAATAATCACAAATAAGACATCCAGGTTGAGAATAAAAACATTTGTGGGACTCCTCACTTTTTTATATTGTCACAGAGGAAAATATTTGAATGCTTTTGAGTGATTATTAAAAAGGCCTTCTTTGTATAGAGCTCTGAAAGGCACATAATTTCCCATTCTTCTCCTTGCAGGTTAGCTTTGATAGGTTGCTTGAAGAAAGAGACATGAAGCTGTGATGTAATTGAAATCCTTATCATGGCGTTCATATGATCATGGAGGAATCTCTAATAAGTTTAGGTTCAATTTATTTGCTTGTCTTCTAACTGAAAAAAGAAAAGACAGATTTTAAGGCAAGCAGGATCACAAGTGTACCAGTGTAAATGAACAGTTTTTCTCATATACTTAATGAGTACATGCATCCACATGTACTGTTTGTAGCTCAGAAAGCCAGTGAAGGTGTCTTTAATCTGTCCCCTACCAGCAGGTGAAAAATATATACTGTATGTTTCTGTATTTAATAATTTAAAGCATACTTCAAACAAACTACTATAGTATATTGTATTGTATTAGTAGTTAATTCATACATGAATCTGTCTTTGGATTATCTTGTATTTTGATATCTATTTTATAACTTTTAATGGCAAAATCTATATTTGTTTATGGGGGATATGTGTGTATTGCCTGGGCCTAAACATTACTATTTTTAAAATCATCTCAGCAACTTCAACTATGTGGCCACTATTGAGAGATTGAGAAATCACAAATTTAGATTGAGAAGAGGACTGGGTAAGCAAATAGCTGGAGCAGTTTCTCTGATGATGGAAATTTCTTTCTTGTGTCAAAACAACTGTAATTTGAAGTTAGAGGAGAATGAAAGATTTCTCTGTGATTTTAGTCGAGAATAGAGAAATTGTTGAAGTCCAAATGATTTGGGGCTTTCTCTTTGTAAAGTGCCTGTTAAGTCTTTTGCTCAGATTTTATTGGAATATATTAGAGTATATTCTTTTCCTTATTCTGTTTAGGAATGAGTTTTGGTTGTTATTTTGGTTCTTGACTAGAAAGGTTATCACTCTCTTTCTCTCTCTTTCTCTCTTTCTGTCTATATCTCTCTCTGTCTCTGTATCTCTGTCTGTCTCCCTCTCTCTCCCAGCAGGGACATAATACCAGATTTTCATTTTTTAAAAAACATTACTTCAAGAAACAATGGGAGAAACAAATTTTTCAGTAAACACAAGTAACAGGGAAATATGGTAGTAGCTTAAATTAGGGTATAGGACCTGGAAAAAAGTAGGCAGAATTGAGAGAAATTTGAGATAAATTCAGAAGGGCTTGTTAATAAAGATTAAGTAAATGATTGGAGAGTTGAGAGTAAGCTGTGAAGAATGATTTTAGTTTCTGGTTTGAAAGAAGAAAGTTCTAGATACTACTATGGTCTTCAATTATTTTGTTTAAGATGTTGATAATCTTTATGGAATATTACAGTGATTATTTGCCTCTATAGGATTTTAAAGATGATTTTGAATTCCAAATTTAATTATCTGACTTCTGTTTTCTGGTTTAATAATATTTTTAAATGATTATGTTATGAATTACAGAAAAATATGTTCAAAATCATATTACTTAAAATTTATTTTGAAAACTATACCCCATCAGGAGTCTGAAAAATAATGGCTTAGTGATTATATAGTATGTATATAACAGATAATGAAACAGTAAGATACAAATAAGAAAGAGGAACAAATGAAAATTAATAAATTAAAATCAACTTTTTGTTTTTTAGGGGTCCCTTCAGTGTTGTACGACGATGTATCAACAGAGAAACTGGGCAACAATTTGCTGTAAAAATTGTTGATGTAGCCAAGTTCACATCAAGTCCAGGGTTAAGTACAGAAGGTAAGAGATGGATTTCAAGTAAGTTATTTGATGTCTGGCTTTATTTCATCTCCAAAATCCATTTACCAACCTAAACTTCATCTGGGGGTGGGGAAGTAAAGGATGTGATATAGTGGGAAGTGGGTGGAGACAGTTTAAATTCTATTTTGGTGTCCTAAAATAAAGATAGCATTTCAAAGTATAATTTATAGAATTAGAAAGTCATCTATAATTGTTATGAGCCTATATTTTTCAACTGGAAAAAAAGTGAAATCTGACTATGGTCTTTGAGAATCTAATTTGAGTACTATAGTGTGAGACATGGTATGAGAAGGGAGAGAAAGAATTGCAAAACTGATAACTGCGGATTCAGAAGAAGCACTCAGCTCTGTCCAATTACATAACTTTTAAGATTATAATCTAGTAGAACTAGAAGATTCATATATCAAATTTGTTTTAAGTCATATACAGTGTATGTGCAAAAATTTTTAAAAACCGGTACGGTTAGAATTTGCAGGATTAAAAATTTTGTTGGAAGACAATATGGATAATCATTTATATGTATAAATATTTATAAAAAATAGGTAATCCTTTAAAATTACTTATTTTTCAGTTTTGAGGCCATATTTTTATGTAACCACAATTTATACTTCAGATGGAATATTATTGTTACCTCTTTTAATTAGCTTGCCTTTTAACTTTAGCCTTTTCCACAGTTCAGTGAAGGTGGACTTCTTTTAATCCTTTTGTTTTTAATCCCAAAACCAGTACAGTTGAAGGTTTAGATTATTAATCCTAAGAGAAAGAAGCCTATTTATGCTTTATCGAGTTATCCTACTTCAGGAAGTAGAAGTTCACGTACTGTCAGCTCAAGTTAATCTGTCCCTGTAAATATTTTTTCGGGATCATTACTTTTAAATACTTTGTGACCCTTTGAATTATTATTATCCATGTGATGATTATAGAAGATTCTTAGAAGTTACAGTTTTCAAAGAATCATTAACCTATTTTATTTAGTGCTTTAATCTTTAAAATTTTATGGTAAATTTTAGAGACTTGAATGATTTTATAATTTGAAATTGGCTAGTAACTGCTTTCGAATATAAATTATTTTATAAATTTAGCAAAATTTAAAATTTATTGTTATGCAGACTTTGCCATTAAACTATATTTCCTTAAATTTTTTTCTTTTCTTTTGGGCAATGTTAGGGTTTTGAATCCAGGGTTTCAAGCAAGCTAGGCAAGCATTATTTCTTTAAACTTTTAACTGCCTTTGATTTTACTGTATTCTGATTATTCCATACCTCAATTGTCTAATAAAAAACCCTATATGAGTACCAAGTTTATTTATACAAGCCTAATTCATTAAATAAATTGATGTTTTAAAAATGTCTTTTAAACGATCTAATATTGATTATAGTCTTAGGTGCTAATTTAAAATCATAAGTGTTAAAAAACATTTATTCAATTACTCACATTAAACTATTGAAATATAAATCAAATCCTCTTAAGCATTGTTACAAATAATTAGAATAAATATTAATGCCTTATTATTTAAACCAAAATTAGCATCAGAAGTTTGATTTATCTTATCATATATCTAATTCTATATCTCTCCAGGGTAAAAACAAATTATAGGGAGACATTTAATTACTTTCTCATTTAGCAGAGGTGGTTTATCGACAAATCTCTTCAGCCAGATCCCTGGAGCCATAGACCCAGAATATGAGACTGAATCTCTATTTATTGTCATTTAGGGAGTCAAACTCTAAATTTCAAAAAAGGAGAGGACTTGGCAGATAATCTATATCCCTAGGTTTAAGTCCCGCCTTTACTTAATATGATACATGAGAGCCTAGCACTACAGTTGTAGCTCATTCCGTCATTGCTTTGGCAATATAAATGTCTTCAAATCGTGCCCTCAAGACAAGACCTGGCCATTGCATTGATTCTTTATACTGTTAGCCCTCTTTGAATGTGATAGAATCCTATATTCTTTTTATTTCTATTTTGTATGGTAGGGCTACAGCTTATAAACATTAAACAGTACCCAGTTGAATTCATGGACTTAGCTAATTCTGATCAGAATTCAGTGGTATTCAAGTGAAAATATACAAGTGGCTTTTCATATTTAGGACACCAGCCTATAACTTTTCCATCTTCTTCAGCACAGTGACTTACTATAAATTAACCAAGAAACAGAATTAAAATTTTATCTCTGTCATCTCTAATTTTTTTTGCAGTGGAGTTCCTATATCCTCTATCCCCTGTGATTATATTAGCTTACTTTTTTTTTATTTAGACACATTTTTGTAGAGTTTATAACATATGTAAAAATAAATCATTTTATTACCTAAAATCTCTTGGAATAGGGCCCTCCTCATATATCCCTTCCCAACTTCTTTCAAATCTTTTCATTTCTACAGGCAAAGAATTTTATCTCCTCTGCCCTTCCAGTCCAGTCACAAATTTTTAGAATGCAAAAATGTCCTATTTCGTGGAAAATTGTAGCAAGAGTTACTATATTAAGAAGAAACAAATTTTAAGTAAAATTAAACACAATAAAAAGAAATCCTTAAATTCAAATATAAATATCTAGAAATATCCATTATTTTGTTTTTTGCATTGTGGTTTATTTGATCCTTATTATTACTTCAATGTTTTTCCTATTTTAGAAATGCATTTCAAATATATTGAATGAAATAGAACTCATAAAGGGTGACCTGAGAACCTACCATGTGCTGTTTATTTGGATAGGTCATTAAAATAAACAAACACATAAAAAGAGTACCTATCCTTAGGACCACAATTTAACATTCCCCAATTATTGTTTATCTTGTAGTTTTTTTAGAGAAAAAATATGATAAATTCAAAATCATTTACAAATTAACTTTTGAAATAAAATATTTTTATTAGTTTTATATCATCTACAAATATTTAATACTTTAAATTCTTACTACCCTACTGAAGATCAGATATTATTTGAATATTTTTGTCATCAAAACAATAATTTTCTCCATTAGATATTTTTAACTTACAGGCTCCAAGGTATCCTATAATGCCTTGAAATTGTGAATAGATTTGCATATATATTTTCATCTTCCTAGAAAGTGTCCACAGGTTTTATTGGATTCCTTAAAGCACACATTATTCCTAAATTATTTAGCATTTCTTTTTTCACATATACAAAAAGTTAAATTGATATTTAAGAATATGAGATAAGAAACTTTTATTAAATAAAAGCTGTATGAATTCACATTAGGATAATACTTCTGATGAAACAATATTTTCATATATATATCTTGTATTGATGAAATTCCTAGATTATTATATTGAAGGGTTTTTCTTTTCTTTTTTCTTTTTTTTTTTTTAACTGGGAATCAAACTCATGACCTCATACTCGCCAAGCAGGTACTAATACCACTGAGCTAAATCCCCAGCCCCTATATTGAAGTTTCAATTAATATACCTTTTTTCTTACCCTATGAGCCACTAACTAATTAGACTTTTTGTTTATGAAATAAAAATCAAAATTTATTTACACAAATTAGGAAATTAAAATTAAATGAAAGTACAATGAATAGAATTAGAAACTGAATCACCAAAGTTCTGAATTCTTTCAAGAACTCAGTATTTGATGGCTTAATTGTAAAAGTCCAAATAGAATTTGTATTTTAGAATATATTGTTTTCTGGAGAGAGTATAGACTGGGTTCCAGTTTACTTTGTCTCCAAGAATAACTCACTCTCCCAAGTCCAAGGATACTGGGTAATATCAGCAAATTTGGAGGAATGAGGTATTTAGACAATCCTCACCTCCATCAAAGAATGAGAAAACTGACAAAAATATCAGAATCAACCCAAGAAGTTTCACATGTGTGTGAATATATGTGTACAATATTTGTAGGGAGGGTTACTGAAGATAAAACTCAAGGGCCTCGTGCGTACTCAGCAAGTGCTCTACTAATAAGCTACATTCCCAACTCTCTTCCCAGCTTTTAAAGTAGAGATTTACTGTATTGATCTGACTGGCCTCATACTTGTGATCCTGTTCCCTCAACTTCCAGAGTAGCTAGGATTACAATTTGTGTACCACCATGCCTAGCAACCCAGGAAGAATTTATTCAAGAAAAAAAATGACTAATTCTTGGAATTATAACTTGTTTCACCACACACACACACACACACACACACACACACACACATGCAACTTCTTGGCAAGCTTCAAAACAAACAGTTCCTGATAGCTTGGCAGCTATCAGAAAAATCAGAACAAGAATGGAATGCCCTAAAAACCTCATTCCAAAAATATTATCATTGTTTTACTTGTATGGTAGTTCCCAAGGAGACTCTATTTGCAAGGCTTTCCTTCTTTACCCTGATTCAGACATCATCCAGTGTAAAAACTGTTACTCCAAGAGGATTTTCCGAATATTTTGTAAGTAGGTATTTAATTTTTTTGCTGATTGAGGTGATAACAGTTGGGACTAACCAAAAGTTCTAAAAAAAAAAAAAACAGCTGAGGCTTTGTAAAACGTACAACAAATTCCTGGAAATCAAGAACATCATGCCTATATGTATGGCTATGCACATGTTCACAAAAGATCAGAGAAGACCTTAAGCACCCACCTCCAGCTGACTTTCAGGTTCTCTAAGCAAAGAATTAATCATAAACAGAGATGCCAGCTTTCTGCCTGAGTGTTGAAGGTATGCCTCACATATACACAATGCCAAACAAAAGAAAAAAGCTTTACAAAATTTGTCCTCCCCCAAATGACAAGATATTAATGAACATGAACAAATGACAGCAGCAGCAACAATATAAACATCTCGAAAAAGGGAGATGCTGATGTTTAGAATTGAAACATAATATTTAAAACATTCAGTTTTCCAAAAAAAAAAAAAAAACAATTACAAAGCACACATGCAAAAAGCAAGAAAATATGTCTCATGCACAGAGTAGTAAAGAAATCAATAGAAATTGTCCCTCAGCAAACTTAGAAACAGGACTTAGTAGAAAAAGAGTTAAATGTTAGCTAT